ATATATATATATATATATATATATATATATATATATATATATTAACAATAATAATTTTTTTAAAATACAATAATAATTTTTGTTTATAAATCATTAATAGACATAATGCTTACAACATAATCCCTAGCTCTACACATAAATTCTGCTGGAATGCCATTTTGTGATGATACAGTATCCTTTGGATATATAAGTTCACTATTTACAACCCAATTTCCTTGTACTAAAACTGCTACTTGTTGTAAATATTTTAAAATATTTGCTGTTTCTTGATCTGGTGATAATATTGATCTTAATTGTGTAAAGGATATTACTTTAGCTATAAAAGAATTTATTAATAATAAATTTATAATAAATTAAATATTAAATATATTAAATTTCAATATAATATAATATAATTATTCAATATAATATAATTATATTATATATAATATATAATAACTTAATATAAATTAATAATAATTTAAAATAAATTAAACTTTAAGATATTAAACTTCAAATATAAATTTTAAAAAACTAACCATCCTTCATAAGTATTCTAATTTGATCAAGAAGAGGTAAAGTTCTAATATAATTGAGAGATGTAATATAATTGGAAACATCTGTTTTTAAATAATGTTCTTCCTTTATACGTGGTGCTAACAATTCTAAATATTGCTCAGTTGATACATTTAATGTATTTACAGTTTCTTCAGTAGCAGAACAAAACATTTCTAAACGTGTAAGCTGAAAATATATGTTAGCAATTAATGTCTAATATAATAAATATTTCAATAATAAATTTATAAAAATAAATAAAAATATTAACCTCTGATTGAGTGCTATTTACTGGAATATAATTTGTATGAATCCACCTTTCTTCTAAACTTTTTTTAGTATGATGTTGAAAAGATTGCTCTTGCATTTTTTTCATAAATTCAGGTTTCTGTCTAGCAAAAGTTACACTAACTTGCTTTGGACCTTCTTCTTCTTCATCATATTCTATATATATTATAAATTGTTATTAACAAAAGATATCATACATAAATTAAACTAAATCAAAGAAAATTATTAAGATATTACCTTCACCCATATTTTTGGCATCTTCTCTTACACGTTTATCAGTTTTATCTAGATAACTAAATTGTGGCCGCATTTGAATAATTCCTCTCAATGGTGTTATATGTAATTCTCCATCTTGAAATATGCCAACACCATAATTAGAACAATTTGGCAATGCTCGAGAGGATTGTAATACTGTTTTGTCCATAACATTACTATAACATAAAATTTATAATATATATAATAAAATAATTAAATAATTTATTTATGTAATTATAATTTTTTAATACCTATCAAATGCCTTTTCATCATCTTCTTGTTCAAGTAACTTTGAATCTCCATCTGCATTTATTGCAATTTGCTCACCTTTACTCTGGTCATAATTAACACTTTGTGTATCTATTGCTACTTCTATGAGAACTTCCTGATTTTCTGGCTTTATTGAAGTTTTTAAGAATGTTGCATTGTCATAACCTTCCTTTGTGGGACGGACGGGATATTGAAAAATAAATAATTTATCTGCAAGCGTTTTTGATAGAAATACTGGAATCTGAAAGAAATTCTTTTCTGTATATCTTTAAATGCATATATATTATTTATATTTTTATTTTTTTAGTTTATATAATAAAATATGACTGACTAGAAAAAATTTATTTAAAAACAATAAAAATACATAAATCATTATTTATTATAATAATAAAAAATTACAATTAAATTACAATTATAAATAAAATATAATTTAAATATATAACCTAAAATTAACCTAAAATTAAACAAAATAGAAATGTATTTACGTACCTCTTTAACCACTGGATCGCTTTCATTTTCCATTGCATTAATATTAGACATTTAAATAATAGATATCTTATATTTATTGTTTAATGCTGTTTAATGCTTTTAATACAAACACTTGTTTTCTACAACACGTTTTTAAAGTAGATAGTCGAGATGAAACATATGTAATAGGTAGATAAAAACAGTATATGCTATATAGAAGTTAATGTAGTAAAATGTAATATTTATATAAATTTTTTCATTAATTATTTATGTATAAAGCTATATAATAATAATTATAAATGTTAAATAATATATAATACTAAATTATTTAATTTTTATATACATTTTTATCTAATGTTTCTATAAATGTATAATTTTGTAATGTTTGCACTTTATCACTGCTACCAATGCAACTAAATTTCACAAGTTGTTGTCAGATATTGTTTCGTATTGGAAAACGTGAATTTAATGTTTGTAAATTTAAATACAGTGATTTGATTTGTAATAAATCATATTTAATTTAAAAATGATTTACAATTATGTGTATAATAAATTATAAAAAAGTTCAGATTTAAAATTTAATAAAACTTATTATTATGATCATTGTCATAAAAGTGTACTAAAAATTCAATACGGAAATTTTATATTATATTAAACTGTAATATAATTATTTTAATTATGTTTAAATGTAATATTATAGAGTATTTTATAGAGTATTTTTTGAACTATCAATTTTAATTATAATATATTTATCTTAAATTACAATTAAATAAAAAATATTAAATAAATTAATAAAATGACATCAATGTTTGATCAGTATGAACAAGCATCTCAAAGATCAAAACAAGTACATATGCCACCAATTCGTCCAGATATTGTAAGTTTATATGTAGTATAAATTTTATTTAATTGTATTAACTTTTCTTCTTTGATATTTATAATGCTTTAACTTTTACATTAAAAAATCATTTAAAGAGAAATCCTATTTAATTTTTAGAGTACAGCTGGATTTATCCAAATGAAATTTCAAGATGATGGACCAATATTTATTAAGCAAAAAGTTAATTTTTTACCATCTGACAAAATTTTACATTTTGTTGTTAACAATAATATTATTGTTATTGCCATGGCTAATAATATTCTTTTACGTATTGACATGAAACAACCAGATTCTCCTGAAGGTTTATTTTTTTTGAAACTTTTAGTAAAATATAATATAAAATATAAATTCATATAAAAGTATTTTTTATTTCAGAAATCGATATATCTAAATATGCCATAAATATGGATATGTCAGGAATGTTTCTTGATCCTTTTGGTAATCATTTATTAATAGCTTTAATTTCAAAATCTCAAGATAATCCTCCTCCTGAATTATTTTATTTACATAGAAAATCAACAAAATTAAAGCAGGTAAATATAATATAAATGTATAAAAAATATGTCAAATATATGTCTATAAGTCAATTTATATAAATGTTCATTTTTAAAAGAAATATAGTTTCCAAGATTTATTCATTTAGGCAAGTAAATTCAAAGGACATGAGATTACTGCTGTTGGATGGAATTTTTCAAATTCTTCAGATACCACTACAGGTCCAATCCTTTTAGGAACTTCAAAAGGTCTTATTTTTGAAACAGAAATTGGTTTAGATGGTGATAAAATATTTAATACAAGCTTGGAACAATATTGGCGACAGGTATAAATAAAATATAAAAATAAATTTTTAATATCACTGTCAGTAAGCATTATCATTTCATAATAATAGAAGTGTTTCCTTTATACCATTATTCATTATGTCCAAAGCTTCCTAACTATTTACCTCTTTATGGTGTCAAAGAGGTAGAAGGATTGGTGAGTTAGAAATTATACTTTTTGCATGTGCAATACATCTGTATGCTAGAAACACAGATATTTATGAATTCTTAAAAATAATTTAATAAAATATATATTTATATAAAATTATATAAAATTATATAAAATTATATATTATATAAAATTATAATCTTTAATTATTTTAATTTATGCTTATTATAATTTAAAATTTTGCTATTTTCATATCATAATCATATTTTATATAATATAATATAGTATTATATATATTTTTAGACAATATTTAATTCTTATTTATTTTAGGTATTTGATATAGGGAAAGATAGTAAACCACCAATTACTGGTTTAGAGTTTCATAAAATACCAAATACTGATAAATATGTGATTATTGTTACTACTCTTATGAGAATTTATCAATATATTGGGGCAGTACAAAATCCAGAAGAAAAACCTTTATTGCAACAAATTTTCAATAAATATTTAAATGTACAAGGTAAATTATTATTACTATACATATATTTCATTAAATTATATTTATAATATTTATAATTTATATGATATATAATAAAAATAATTTTTTTACAGAGAGTTTCAATGAAGTAATAAATCATTTGTCTTATTCTAAAATTCAATTTTATTATCCCACACTTGGTAGTTTACCAAAATCTTTTGGTTGGTTAACTGAAACTGGTATATTATATGCTCAGGTAATTTTATTTATTTATCTCAAATATGTATTTTTTTATAAATTTTATTGTACATAAATTTTATTTTTAAATAATTTATATTATTTATTTAGATTGATCCAAAGATAGATCCAAAAAGTGTATTAACAAATCAGCAAATGTTAATTTTTCCTGAAGCAAGTCTGATGGGAAGCAATATATCAAAAACAACTTCTGCACCATTATCTTTTGTTTTTACAGAATTTCATGCACTATTACTTTATACAGATCGTGTAAAAGGCATGTCACTTTTGAATCAAGACTTAATATTTGAAGACATTTATAATGATGTATGTAATATAAAATGTCAAAATTATAAGAAAAAGACTATAAAAACTAACATTGTTAATGTAATTATTATAAATTAATAATATGAATATTACAAAAAAAATTAATTTTTATAGGCAGTAGGAAAACTTTTAAACATTACTAAAGATTATGTAACACGTTCGATATGGGCTTATAGTGAAAGAGCAGTATTTAAATATAAAGTTAATAAAGAAGATAGAAATGTTTGGCAGGTAAAATGATAAAATGAAATGTATATAATATTTATTCATATAATATAAACTAATAATTAATAATATAAAATAATACGATATATATATATATATATCGTTTAAATAGGTTTATGTTGATAAAGGTGAATTTGAACTTGCAAAACAATATTGTAAAGATAATCCAGCACATATAGATCAAGTGCTTGTAAAACAAGCGGAAATGCTTTTTAAAAACAAAGAGTAAGTTAAACATTTAGAGAAGTGTATCATTTATTTGAAACATTTTTGTAAAATTATTTTATATTTTATGTTACAGATATGAAAAAAGTGCTCTTATTTATGCAGATACTCATTCATCATTTGAAGAAATATCTTTAAAATTTTTACAAGAATGGCAAATAGAAGCTTTAAAAACATTTCTTAAAAAGGTGTTATATTTATTAACAATTTAATATTAAGCAATTTAAATTTTAAATATTTAAAATAATTGAATTTTTTAAATCCAGAAACTCGAGGGATTAAAAACACAAGATAAAACGCAAATAACTATGATTGTTGTATGGGTAATTGAATTATTCATGAATCAAATGGGCGTATTACGAAGTAATAATACATCTTATTTACATGATTCACAATATTTAGAATTGCAAAAACAATTTGATAGTTTTCTTGCAATACCAAAAGTTGAGGTATTAATTAATAATCTATATTTTTAAAAATTTTTCTATTAAAAAAAATTTGCAATAAAAATTATTTTAATTTTAGGAATGTATAAAAAGAAATCGTAGCACTATATATGATTTAATGACAAGTCATGGTGATAAAGATAATCTTATTCGTTTAACAATAATGCACTGTAATTATGAAGAAGTAATACGTCAACATTTATATAAAAATAATTATTTAGAAGCTCTTGAACTTTTAAAGAGTCAAAATAATAAAGAACTATTTTATCAGTTTGCTGGTATTCTTTTACAAGAATTACCACGTCCTACAATGACTGCCTTAATATCACAAGGTTCTTTATTAAAACCATCTAAGCTTCTTCCAGCTTTAGTATCTTGTAATAGTGATGAAAAACATGTAAGATAATATTTTTTTATTTTCATCTAGATTTTAGATTTTATAACAATCAACTAGTATTTAATATTATAGGCAAAAGAAGTAATTAGATACTTAGAATTCTGTGTTTATAAACAAAGCTGTCAAGAACAAGCAATTCATAATTTTTTATTGTCTTTATATGCCCGTTATAAACGAGATGAAGTAATGCGCTATATTAGTTCTCAAGGTGATTTTTTAAATGATATATTTTCATTAAAAATGTAATATTTCTAATAAAAATTTAAATTAGGACAAGATATAAATATGGTACATTATGATGTGCATTATGCATTACGATTATGTCAAGAAGTTGGTTTAACAGAAGCTTGTGTTCAGTTATCTGCTTTACTTGGATTATGGACAACAGCAGTTGATTTAGCTTTAACAATTAATGTTGATCTTGCTAAACAAATAGCTGCTATGCCTTCAGATCATGAATTAAGGAAAAAATTATGGTTAAAAATTGGTAATTAAGAATATAAATTTTAAATTTTATATTTTAATCCAAATTTCTAATTATTTTAATTTTAGCTGAGCATGTAGTTCGAGAAAAAGATGACATTCAACAAGCAATGGAATTTTTACAACATTGCGATATAGTCAAAATAGAAGATATACTACCTTTTTTTTCAGATTTTGTTACTATAGATCATTTTAAAGATGCTATTTGCAATTCATTACAGGTAAAGTGATTTTACAAATATGATAATGTGATCATTCTGGTAGTTTTCCTTAATAATTATTAATATTAGCTTTGTAATTAAACTATCAAGAAAAGCAGAATATCAATTTTTAAATCAGAGTTTTTTTATCTATTGAATATGATATACAAATGATTGAAAAGATTTAGCCACAAAATCTTAGTTATTAAATATAATGAATATATTAAATACTCATTATATATTACATATATAAAAATATTTATCTTAATATTATATTTGGTAGGAGTACAATCAGCATATTCAAGATTTAAAGGAAGAAATGCAAGAAGCTACAAAAGCAGCAGAACTTATTAGAAAAGATATACAAGAATTCCGAACGAGGTAAATAGAATTAATAATAATTTATTTAATGATGTAATATTATTAAAATTTTTTTAGATGTACGTTTGTAAATACAAAAGATACATGCAATACGTGTAATGTTCAATTACTATTGCGACCTTTTTATGTATTTCCATGTGGACACAGATTTCATAGTGATTGTCTTGTAGCTGCATTAACACCTATGTTGTCAATGGATCAGAGAACAAAGTTAGCTGATCTTCAAAGGCAACTTACTGCTCTTTCAAACAGACCTGAAGATACTAGATCAGTTGGATCTGTATCTTTATCTACAAAAGATCAAATAAAAACTGACATTGATGAATTAGTAGCTTCTGAATGTTTATATTGTGGAGAACTTATGATAGAGTAAGTTATTTTATTAATTCATTCAATTTAATATTTCAGACAAATTAATTGATATTTCATGTTCAGATCTATAGATAAACCATTTATTGAAGAAGAAGATTATGAAAGAGTAATGAAGGAATGGATATGAATAATGTGAAATATTTTAAAATACTTTAAAACTTTCTACATTGTATAAATGTATTTATTTAGTATATATTATACTTTATTCATATTTAAAGATTATTTATTTCATACATGCATTATAATTATTTATAACTTAAAATTAATTTTGAGTATATTATTAAGTGTGTACATTCAAAATATAAATTTTTAAAATACTAAATCACATTAAAAAATATTAATTTAAATATGTTCAAAATAATAGATTATAATAATTTTTTAATGCAATCCCAAATGTAATTCTGCTTCTTTATTTCTTTTACTCACAGCTTTATTCCCATAGATATAATATCGTAATGGTTTATTTGTCCATTCTTCTCCATAGTTATCTATACCTATTCGACGACATTTAACAATATTGATTTCTTCTATTTCATCATTTTCAATCCACAAACTTTTCCAAGAGCATAAAGAATATTTACTATGATTTTTATGAAGCTGGAAGGCTATACATAACTTTGATGGGCCATTACATAACTCATATGTTTTTAAAACTTTTGAAAGTTTTTTAGATGTATTTGATAATCCCTTTGAAGTTCGTTGATTAGTCATGTATTCAATACCTTCTAAAGGTTCAACAGCTCTTATTAAAACAGCACACCCTTCACCTAAAATCTTACCAGGAGATTTTTTTATGGAAGAGAATTAAATATTAAAATGAAAATCATCATTAAAATGATTATATTTAATTATATTTTTTAATTATTATATATTATAAGCATGTTCTTCACATTTAATATCTCTATGACTAACACTAGAACTTCCTAATACATAATATCTCCACATTTTTTGTTCATTATTTGAATCATCAGAATTTGCTGCTACAATAGTAGTTGACTTTATATGAGGATCACATTCTATCCATAAATCACTACACTCATAAATCTTTTTTTGATTGAAGCTATCTTCATCAATAACAAAAGCTGTACAAATTTTGGTTGGACTGTTACAAAGTTCATATCTTTTAAAGCTTCTGACATTTTTTACAATTTTCTTTTCTTTTTTATTTTTTTCTGATTGCATATTTCTTAGTAATTCCATATAATCAAGGCCAAGCATAGGTTCAACTGCTTTAATTAATACATGTGCTCCTGACTCTAAATATTTTTTAATACCAACTAGTTTTTTTTATCATTTAGAATATAATATTATATTGATTTTGCTTTTATTTTTTAAAAATAATTTTTATTTTTTACTCACCTTGGCTAGATATGTTGAAACAATGATACATTCCATATGTCATATATACATATATAGTTCCTGGTGGCATATACATTGGTATATTACGAGGAGTAACTTTATTTTGATATGTATGAGATGCTTTATCAATTACTCCTAAATATCCTTCTGTTTCAACAATTCTACCTTTTAAAATAGTTCCATTTTCTAAACAACGAACTAATATTTTTCCTGAATGTAAGTAATAAGTATATATCAATATTAGATTATAATATTATCCATAAAATTTAAAATTATTAAATTACCTAATAAACTTTGAGCTAATTCTTCACAGGGACAATCAAAAAATGAATATGGTAATCTATTTGAACATATTTCTTTTTCCCATACAGTCAATGGAGGATCTTCTAATTGTTTTAATTCTTCTTTCATCATTTTAAGATCTACCACTGCTCTTGCTTTATTTTTTGGAGGAGGTATATTTAATTCATATTCTTCATTAACTTTTTTTTTCCTATATGCATAAATTATATAAGGTATATATTTAATATAAGATGTAGATATTATTTTAAAAAACTTACTATCTCTTAAACTTTTTAAATTAAGCTTATTTTTTTCATTCTGCTCATGATTTTGAACATCTTTTGATGAAGAATTTAATATTTCTGTTACATTAATTATTTTCTCATTTTTTATATTTTTATTTTTGACCAAAGAATGTTGTTCAGTATCCTAACGAAAATATTTTATTTTAAGAATAATTTAAATAATTATATATTATAATCAAATAATTATATTAAAAAATACAAGAAATTATATATAATTCAAATTAAATAATTTAGAAAAACATTTTTAATTTTTAAAAAGAGAAAGACATTTTTAAAAAGAGAGAAACTTTATATTATTTAATTTTCATATTATCTTAATAGAAAAAAAGACATAAAAAACTAAATATATTTAATTAATAAAAACAATAATTTTAAAAATTAATAAATAACAAACCTTTAAGTTATTTTCCAATTCATCTTTATTAAATTCATCATTTTTTTTTTCGGTAGAATGTATCTTTGATGTTGATCGTATTCTCTTCATTAGTAAAAGACAAATCGTAGAATGAAACGTTATACAATTGTCAAACGTTTGTCGATTAACGATTTCTATGGAAAATGAAATAAATTATAATATAATTTTTAATATTATTAAATTGTTAGGTTAGAGCGATTTATAAAGATTAAATTCAAACGCAATGAAGTTTTCCCGCAAAACATAAACATCAGTATTACCACTTTAAAAATATGCTTCAAATGATCATGGATTTAGATAATTTTTATCTATTTATTTTTAAGTATCACGTCGTTATATATCAGTTCTCATTTTGAAATATGTAAGAAAAAAAGCATTTCTTTAAAATTTAATATAATTAAAATAGAAAATAAATATTTATATTTTTTTATACGAATATAGCTTATTTATAGCAAATTAATTAATACATACGATTGTTTAGTATTCCACGATTGACGAGCGTTTTTAGATTGAATATTATGGACAACATTCGATTGAAAAATAACGTCAGGTATGATAAGAAATTAAAATTTACTTCTTTAATTAATTACAAAATAGTATCCGAACTATAATATAAAGATATTACACGGTTAGAGGTGTACATTTGATTATCTTTTCTAGCATTTGTTTTTAATGAACAAAATCGTAGATAGCGTTCATCATTTTTTTTTGAAGTTTACTGTTGTATTTGTCGTAATAAAGTAAAATATGAAATACTAGTGTTGAATACCTAAAATAAACTTTAATTTTTATATATTTATTTTAATTTTTACTAAAATTAGTTTTTGCAGTAAAAATAATATTTTCGAAATTCAATAGTTTACTATGAAATTTTTTTATTTTGATTTTTTTTTTAGACTTTTTCACTTTTTTTCTCTAAAAAAATTAATAAAATATTACTTACGCTTGTTAATGTACAAATAGATAATGTTTGGAAAGTTAATGCTGTGATACGACAATATTGTTGCGTTCTAACAATCATAAGACAAAAATATTTCTGATAGATCGGAGGAAGATTGTACCACGGTATATTGAGATAGATTACGTGTCCTATTTCTTGACTTTCTTGAATAAGGATTTCACCAGGCCAGCACCATAATAGAAGTTGTATTCCCATGGAAATGAAATAAGATATAAATTTCAATAGATCAGCATTCGCTGAATCACTATCGAGTACTGCGTATCCACTTAAACAAATTTCAATTCCGCTTGTCAGAAGTTGAATGAAAATAATGGGAGTAAATAAATTATTCACATTATTTACCACACTGTACAAAATTAATATCATTATTAAAGATAAAAATTAAAAAAAACTGTTATAATTTAATAGTATTAAGATACAATATTTAATAATATCTATAAATATATATAAAAAAGAAGAAAAATAAGAAAAAATAAAAAACAACAAAATTAGAAAAAATATTTACTGTATTATTTGTTGATGATGACGAATGCATTTGATTAAATCTATTTTTAATTTTCGTATGTAATTAGGATTACAATTTATTTCAATTCCAATATTATTGATCCAAATATTGATCAATTTAAATTGTCCAGATATGTGTAATATAATAGTCATAAGCGAAGTATCCAAGCCAGAAATGACTGCGGCACAAATTGAAGCTGATATAATTTGATAAAAAAATGCAATTTCGAAGTTTGGAGATGCGGAGATGTCTGTTCCATACCTAGTGATAATATTAAGGTATAAATTAAACAGGACAATTACTTAAAATGTTTTAATATCTATATAAAATAATATTATATAATATTTTAATAATTATAATTATAATAAATTAAATATTTTAGTGTAATAAGTCTTTTTATTCGATAAACAAAGAAGAAAAATATTTTAATGGAAAAGAATGATTTGTACCAAACAATAAAAGGTAAATGTCGATTATTTTCAGTGTTATTGGCATTATATTCGAATTTAAAATAATCAATAGCCGCAGCAATAGAGAATGTGAATACATTGCACATGCAAGATGAATAAAAAATTATCGAAAAAATTCGTGCCCAATAAGCGAATTCTTCGTAAGGCCTTTCTTTAGAATCATTAGAAGAATTCCACAGACTTCGTATTTTATAGTAAAGCGAATATGTTTTTTCTCTTCTCACTATTAGATATAGCATTTTAAATAATACTTGTGTAATTGTTGTTAAAACACATCCTATCCCTAATTTGAGAAGAAATTTAATTTTTATTATTAAAAAATAATTTGAAGAAATGTGAAATTTAAATCTATTTAGTTATTAACTCTATTAACTACTTTACCTGCTATAATTTTTATATTTTTCCAATTCATTGCTATTATTATAATTTCAGGTATGAAAAAACTACTAACTACTATTAATCCAAATATCAAACGAACATATGCAAATATTTTACTGAACATTGAACTTTTCTCATCGATAGGCCACATTCCAGCTATACTACAGAAAATCTTATTTGGTAATATATAATAATCGATCGATTTATTAAACGGTTTCTTCATATTTCCCCTTTATGCAAAATTTGATGTTTGCAAGTAAAATATTTCCTTATATATTTCAACGAAACTTCTTCACAAGAAATTCTTTATAATTTAGACTAGATAAAATTATAGATACCAAAACATAGAATTTTATTCCCCTTCATTCAAAACATGTTCAATAATATTGTCATCGTTTTGTATATTCCTTTTCTATTTCATATGATTTTTTATTTACAGTGTAATGAATAGCTAATGTTGTAGAGGGAACGAACATTGTAGTTCGTAGTAATATAGTTGGAACTTCAACTGTGTTTAGTGCGTATCGAATCGTAATATTCTATAGATTCTTTAAGAGAAGAACAGTAACAGTAAAGAGTTATTTGTAATTTTTTGTGATATTTTTTAAAAAAAGTATAACTTCATTACATCATATATGAAAGGTAAAATAACATTAATAATAAATTTAAATTAATTTTTAGATTTAATCTTAAAAAATTTTTTTCATATTTTTTGAAGATACATTATGTAAGAATAAAATGAAAAATAATAAAAAAAAGGAATGAATTTTTTATAATCTAATTTATAAAATACTAATTTATATTTATTTCTATAAATATAATATAATGTACATTTTATATGTACAAATTATGTACAAGATATAATTTTTTAATTTTTATTTATTTTTGATTTATTTATATTTATAGGTAATTAATTATATTTATAAGTAAGTATTAGATAAAAGAATATATATTATTATTTTTTTATTGATTGTTGTTGAATTTGTAAAAGACTTTGACCTTTTGTTTCTGGGATGAAAAAATAAATATATGGTATTGAAAATGATAGGCAAATACTATATGTCCAATACACAAATTTATCATCAACTAAATCTAAAAAAGGCTGGTAAGTTTTGGTACTTGCAAAAGATAATAAAGCGTTCATACAACTTATGAATAATGAAGCTATGTTTTTCAATTTTGCATTGAACATTTCACCTAAAAGTGTGTTTGGAATCGGCATTAGTCCAGAATAAATGAACAGATTAAACATTAATAAAGAAATGATCGGTAACCACGTCAAATTTTTAGAATCATATTCTAATGAAAGAAGATGAAAATGTAATCCTAAAAATGCTAAAGATATTGATGTTCCTGTACTGGATATTATTAATAAACATCGTCTACCTAATTTATCAATTAATAATGTAGCTAGTAAACCTGAAAAAATCGTAGACAATGCAAGAATTGTCACTACTAAACTAGGTGTGATGCTAATTTTACTTTTTGTCAGAATTATTTCTGTGTAAGAGTTCACAGCACTGTATCCACTTATATAGGAGAATAAGTAGAGACCAATTATGATGAAAGGTTTCTTTAAATTACCTGAATAAAATAGAAAAAAATTTGAGATTGATCATATGTTTTGTCATTAGTTATTAGTTTTTTCGATATTTTAAATTTTCAATATGACGAATATTGAGAATATGAGAATAAAAGTATGAATTTTTTAAAGTTATTCGAGATTAATTCAGAAAATTGTAAAAGAAAACTAAATTATCAGAAATATTATTTTTAATAGATATGACCAGGATAAGTTAATTTCAAAGAAACAATTTCAAATATTTAATAAATATATTGAAGTGAAGTGTTAGTAATGAAAAACATGGAATTTCTGGAACAAATTAAACTTGTTCTTTGTAAACGGAATTCTTTTGTTGTTAACTTTTATGAAAACATTCAAGTAAAAAGAGAATCATGGATACTTGGTGTGAGGAACTCCTTCAACTTTAGGAAAATATTAGTTTCAGCTCCGTCGACGAATTCTTGAAGATCTTGCATCTCGGCTTTGACGTCAGCTTCTCGCCTAAACCACTTCAAGGATGCCTCGGCCTTGTCGATATCCCCGTGCAAGAGGTAATGGTATGGCGATTCAGGTATCAAACTGAAGAGGATCATGAAGAGGATATTCGGAACGAGGCTCACGTACCCGAACATCTCCATGGACAGATAAGGACCCATTGCATTGCCCAAGAACATACCAATGGAAGACGCATTCACGTTCATGGATATCTAAAGACGTGACCACAGATATGATTTTATCAGATAGAAATATTCATATAGGTAAAAAGAAATGTATCTTAAAATATCAATTTATGAAACAATTTTTGATTTCTTAAACGTTATGATTTATCATCGAAAATACTAGGTCTAATTTATAATAACTAATTTATAATTTAAAATTTTGTACAATATTATTTATAGTAATTATAATATTATTTATGTAATAATATTATTATTTTATTATATTATTGTATATATCAAATTATATGTGTATATCAATATATGATATATTCATATTGTGAAATATACAAGAATTTTTATAAGGTGAATGTCTCTCATTTTTGTAGAGTATTGATTTTGATATCAATCAGTTTAAGAAGTTTAAATAATTTAATTGAAATTTAAGAAATAAGAATATCTAATAATTTTTGACAAAAATAGAAAGAAAAGAAAATATTTTTCATTTAATCTCATATTTTAATCTCATAAGTGAATGCTCATTATTTTATATGATATATGAATTTACCAGTGATCCACGAATTTTGGGATTGGCAATTTCACTCAGATATAGAGATATTGAAGACCATAGCATTCCTGATGCGATTCCTGAGCAGAATCTAGAGATGTAAAGCCATATGACCGATGTAGCACATATACTGAATATCCAACTGATTATCATTGGTAGTGCACTAAATAGAAGCACTTTTTTTCGTCCCGTATATTCTGAAAATTATGTTGTGACAAATTAAAATTACATTTACCTGAGAACAAGATCACCACAACTCAGTCACCACAATTAGTGGATCACTGAAAATTTTAATTTATTTCTTATACGTTTTATCTTGAGATTTTTGTTTCAAAGATCAGGAATATATTTTAGTGTACTTCGAGTATATGTACGTATTTCAATAATAATTTCCTATTGATATTACAATTATTTGTTTGTATTTGGTTTTCTACATACCACAATTTCGTATCATGTTTTTCTACAAGTGCTGAGTCGTGGCTGCCTTGTTCTTATTCAATTCTCGATTAACAATGTTGATCGTCATTGTTTGCCTTGCTTGGTTACTTGATCGTGTGCTGCAAGAGAGTATCGATCAGATCAACTATGAATATATATATATATAAAAGTATGTATTTATAAAAGTTATCGGACATTTCTGATATATTGAATAATTTAAATTACACAGATTTCATTTACTACTAATTGTATAATAATGTATTGTAATGTATTGTACTAATAATTTGATCTAATACATTACAGATATCCTTCAAGTTCAAGTATGTCTTCATGATTTGCGATTGAAGAGAGTAAAATTTAATAGATTAATAGATCAAATGAATCTTCTTTCTGACAATGAAGAAATGGCCTTACCTTGACACAGTGTACTGAGCAAAGCCCCGACGAAGCGACCAAGATTTAAAAGGGATGCTACCCAGGATGCTTCGGTATCTGTCAGTCTCAAAGGCATGTTCGCTTCCGTTGATGTCAGTTGAGCCAAGTATGGCGATACCCAACCATTCGCGAGACCACTTCCGATAATAGCTAAGCAGACTGTCACAAACGGCCATGAAACAGTTGTGTCAACGGATGCGAGAGTAATTTCATTAGCTCATTCATAGACATAGCTCTACAGGCATCTTGTGTATGGAATACGGCGCATTTTGATGTATACCAGATTGTATTAGAACGTCTTGATCAAGTTTAATGTTAAGCAAACATTGCTTTTGTGAACTTTCAAAGAAGGTGATTAATTTGATTTGACAATAAAATAGGTAATACATAAAAGGTAATATATAACAGTTTAACAGAATTAAATCTATAAAAATTATAAAATTATTAAAATATTTTATTTCTATAATTATTATAACATATGCAGTTCATCAAAATTTATATTAATTTTTATTGTTTGTTTTTATATATCATTTTATTATATTTACTATCATTATCGTCAAGTTGATAATTCTATTGTTATTTTTATTTTAATACGTACGTATAAATGCAGTTAACTGTTGTGGCCAAGTTGTAATCTTTTTATCTGTATCTTCTTTAGGATTTTCAATAGACATTTTGTTCTTAGGGTTAAACGAGATCTATCCTACTAGGTTGGGTGAAGTTATCCAAACTGACTCATACAATTCATGAATCTTATAGCAGGAAGACACTAGTCAAGATCGGAAGATTTGCATCTCGATAAGATACTTGATATATTTATGCCATAACCATGTGATCTTTATGTATGCCATGCTATATTTGTTTTGCGAGCATGACACATAAAAACTCATTATCTTGGAAATTTCTGTTACATTTAGTTAGATTTTTTCTTATCTTCGACTATACTTTCCTGGTAATAATCAAAGTACGCTTTGAAATTTCTGAAAGATATCAAGTCATATAAATATTCATCAGCCAGGATTGACAATTTTGCATCGTTATCACAAGATCATGTTATAAATAATTAGTAGCAATATTAAGAATTAGTTTTGAAATTTATTGCAGCCATAGAGAAGATTAAAATTGTGTAAAGATGGAATTATATCATTTGAGAACATTGGAATTTAATTGAAATTATTTTAAACAAAAATAAAAATGTACGAATATTATAAATTAGATTAAAAATTTTATATATTATGTTATATTTTATAAAATGTTAAGAGATATGCAATCAAGGAAAAGATAAAAGTGAAAAAATACAAAAATCTTTTCAATTTTATATTATTTCATTGCAAAATAATTAAATTTTTTTCATAAGTATTCTTGATAAATAATTCTTGAGAATAATTCTTAATATATCACTATCAATGCTATAATTTATTATTCACACTGTATATATTTGCTAAATGTGATTGATATTAAATTGAATGAAAATCTGACGATTCAACATTGTTTTACTGCAAATTCAATATATATATAAATAATTGTCAGTAGTAAATAATTAATAACATTAAATGTTTTCTTTTCTGTTTATTTTTTTTATCATTTTAGAATAAAGAACATTTAAAATGAAGAAGGAACAATGTTTATCAAGCGATACAAGCATTCCAGATCCTTTAAATTTTTTTGTGAAGAAATTCAAAGAAACAATTCCTGAAAATAAAAGGTAAGATTAAATTTTTTAATATCATGGATAAATTAAATTCTATTTATCTAATATATTTTATTTTTATTACCATTATCTTTAATTTATCGTAAAATATATACTTTTATTTACGTTATTTATTATAATTATCAGTAAATTAACCGCCAAAGAAATGTTAATGCTATTGACTCCAACTTATAGTCAATTAGATTGTTTACCAATTTCAAAAAGATATGAAAACAAAATAAATAATAAAGAAAATCCTAAAATTTATGATGATAATTATGAAAAAATTGATGAATCTCTTAAAAAAATATTTGGTAGGTTAAATAATATATTTTTAATTATATATTTATATATCATTAAAATGATATTTGTATATCAGTATATATAATATTTGTATATAATATATATATATATATAAAATTGTATATCATATCACAATTATTTTCATTGTTAATATCTATAACTTAAAATATTATTTGATAAAGTATAATAACAACAATATATTATAATAAGATAATTGCAATTTAAAAGAAGAAGAAAGTGAAACATTATGTTGTACAAGTATAACTGATGAAGAAGAATTGTCATTTGATAGTATGTGGCTAAAAAAATGTTTTAAATTGCCATTAAAGATGGCGATAAAAGAAATTATATCAAAGAAACCTTATGATCCTATTGGTTATCTTGGATTTTGGTTATTAGATTATAAAAAATTTCAAGAACGTCATCAATTGCAATTAGAAAAAGATAATGAGCTATATTATCTTCGATCTTTAATCAAGGAAGAACCAGTATATTTTCAATGTTTATTTAGTGATTTTTATATTATATTTTATTTTATATTTTATTATTTTTTTTAATTTGAATTTAGATATATTATCATTTATTAAGCAATATTAAAGATATATTAAGATATACTTATAAATTTTTTAAACTATTATAAATTATAATATCATTATTTTTTTCTTATTAATAATAATAAAAAAAAATCTCATGTAAATAAGAGCAAAAGAAAGATAGTTTAAAATAATGTTTCAGATACCTAAAGAAGAAAAAGTTTTAGTAGATAGAAAAGAAGAAGAAGAAGAAGAAGAAGAGGAAATGCGCGATTGGAATTTTAAACATTACGAGAGTATATTGAAATAAAATTCTAATAAAGAAATTACTTTATTATTTTATAATTTTTTTATCATTATTTATAAAATAATAATATTAATATATTTCGATATTAATTAAATTATACAAAACTAAATTTTCATTATAATGAATTTATGAAATTAATAACTTGATTATTAAACAAATAATAAAATATTAATTGCAATTAAAAAAAAAATAATAGGAAGTTTTGAAGATACATTTTTATATCATATCATTGATATGAAATTTTATTTATTTTCTTATATCTATTCATTTTATAATAATATATATATACTTTTGTATTAACAGGTCACTGTCTGACCATATGATAGTGTTCATCCCTTCGATCGACGGAACAATCCCTTTAAATTTCAATATATCGTTCCTAGGTGTCTCGACATTCGACTGTTCAGGAAATCTCATTCGTATAATCTCGTGTATTTCCGTCGTTGGGTCGCGGTTCCCATGCGAAATTGTGCTCAGTTCGAATCGCGCAGCCGCCCCCATAGTTTGGTGCGCGGTTAATCGAAAAAAATGCACTAAATCGCGAGTTTGGATGGAAAGAAAACATTTCGATTTTGTGCGATCAACATTGCTCCAGATATAATGAGAATTGCCTAACAAGAGAATGACGTTGGCACATCTCGATGCAAATGATATAGCGAAAGACGCGTTGAATGCGATTCGATTGTTATTGACGCGAGGGTTGGTTGCGCGGCCATGCCAGTTGTTGGGTCAATGGCTTAGCCGTCAGATGGCGCGGTGTTCGTTTCGGTCCACCCTGCCTGCGCTGGAATGCCCTCAGCGAGGAGCTTGTCGACGCTGCCGTCTTTCGTGGAGCTTTTTTCCACGCCACGATCAGGTGACTGGGCCAAGAACCTTTTTAGACCCTATCAGCCGTTTCCTAATCACTAAGGAACATTTGTGAATAGACGTGTAATTTGGGAAATGGATATGTGAACGCGCCAGCCGGGTGGTCCACTTTACGCGTACGGAGGTGCTGTGTTGTGTTGTGCACCAGAAGGCGGTTCCAGTGCACTCTACTTGATCGTATCTCATCATTTTATCGTTCGACAGTGTGATTATGTTCAAGATCCTGTGTTATTTGTATTTCAAAGCTGTGTTATGATCGATGATTATTAGCTGAGAGAAGAAGACGAGGACGCGGCGGGCGACCGAGTTAAAGCAGAACACGGGAGTGTCGTCCACCATTTTGGCTGCGCGAGGTTATTCGATGTGTGCACCATTCTCATCGCACGTTCGTTGTTTTCGTGGTTTGCATCACATCAAATCATTCACGATGCTTATGGAGTTATCATGTGAATCGGGGAACAATTGGAAATAGTGTGTGGAAAAATAATTGTAATAAGATGATCTCCTAAAATCGACGCTAAATGGAGCAAGGCGAGGGCTGTTTTCCTCGTCGCAATCTCGATGTTGTCAGCTGGTCATCGAGTGGCAATGCTGGAATTAACTGAAGTCGTGGAATTCAATTATTATGCGATCGGTACGTGTTACGAGTGATTATAAAATTGAAAAAAAAATATCGTGGATCTCGGAAGTAAACCACAGTGGAATAGAACGATGTCGCTTGAAAGTGGGTTACTATAAGTGCCGTCCCTGCTATTGGTGAAAAGCGACGTTCACTTTAGGATATCCTGTGCTTCTGTCATTATCATTTATATTTGGTTCTGTCGTATTTCTCGATACTGGTGAATTTGTGAGATCGTTTCGGGATTGCAGCTGATCGCATACGACATGTCCGAGGTGGCAAACTGTATGGAGCATCTCGAGTGCCATTAACCTCGTTTCGTGGCCACCTCGCGGCGAAACGATTCCCGTTCCGCGATTTTTTTGCGGACTTATGTTCTCGAGGCCCGCGTTTTAACGGTATGGGAAATGGGCGCCGTGATTAACGATGAGGAATCTGCGACGAATGTGGGACGAGTCTTGGAATCGTGGCGTTTGGACGCGATCTGTATAGTAAATTCTCTGTGTTGAAACGCGGGAAACGATGAAGACATTCGCGTTGCTCGCGGATTCATATCGAACTGCGCGCGTGTTACGACTGTAAGACGATAAAACGAAGCGCATTATCGTCGTTCTAGTGTTTTTAACGATTTTTTTTTCTTTTGATCATAATGATCGAATATACATGGATGGTGCTATTATGCATGGTGAAATACTGTTTTGCAGCTAGGAATAAACAGTGACGGAAGGAATGGTGAGGAAGGAAGGAGGATAGGATGAACTTATTGTATCGCTGACACGGATGAAACGAAACAACACGATGGAAACGAAGTGAGACTATACTTTTTTTTTTTCTCTTGATCTCCTGGATGGGATCTCCCATCGGCGTAGTTTTAGATGTATCGTGCGATTATTCGACTGAAGTGAACTGGTTCGGTGTGCTCTCTCTCTCGATCAGTGTTCCGTGTGTGTGTGGCGTTTTCGCCGCTGTTTTGACAAGGATTACGTGTGCTGTGCACGTTACTCCGATCCATCAGAGACATGTGAGTAATGTTATCAGAATTTCTTTTTTTTCCGCTATCTTGATAACACTTTCAATGGATAACGTACTAACGTTGCTAAATATAATTAAATTTATTATTTAGTCAAATATTTCCCGGTTGATATTTCAGATTTCTTATTTTTCATTTTTTTGATTGCTTACATGAAATATTGTAAAAATTTACGACATACAATATATCAATAAATTAAATTTGTAATTTATTCGAATATATTCTCGTAAATTGTAAATTTTTTTTTTTATATATCTCATAATAGAAAAGTATACAATAAATTAGTTAGATTTTTTATTTTCATTAATAAATAAATAATTAATTTATTTATTAATTGCGTAACTTTGTATTATTAGATGTATAAAAAAAAAATATGCTTATAATTTGTGAGAATATATTCGAATAAATTACAAAATTAATTTATTAATTAAAATAATGAGTTTTTATAAAAGAAGCAAAACTATTCTTAAATAATAAATTGAACGAGTAAAAAAATAACAGTGAATATTAAAAAAAAAATGATATAATCTTGTAACAGAGGTATAGAACACAATTAATAACAAAAAATAGTTTTTAACATGTTAGTACTCTTGTTCAAGAATATAAACAAAAGTAATATCCAATCAAATATTAAATTTTTATGAAAAATTGTTATTTTAATTCTTTTACAATTAACTTAAATTTTTTAATTGTCCTTATAGTTTGTTTTAAAATTTTATAAAGTAAAAATTCATATTTTTTTTATTTTTTAAATATTTGAGATTACTTGTATTGAATTTAAAAATTTCTTTTTTTTTTAGTTTTGTTATCTTGTTAATATTTATTTTAGAATCAAAGTTTAACTAGTATCAGAATATTTTTTTTATTTACTAACTATATATTTTTAGCAATTAAATAATACTATCGATAAGTATGAATACAGTAATGATCCAGTGATGATCTAAATTCGTTTTTATATTAAATGAAGTTAAATTGCTTAATGTTTTTTTAAATTTAATGAGGATATATTTGTATAAACTTTATAAAGAATTTCATTTTAATTTTCAATCGATATTATTGGCATTTTTGAATATTAGCTGGTTATAATAGCTTGGATTAAACTTGAATTAATTTATTTAATGTAAGATTATTTAATTCTCATTTATATTCTCAAATGATAGATTGATCTTTATCATGTAAAATATAAAATTAAAACGAAATATTGTAGAAGTAAATAATTTAAACTAATCATTATGATTTAATAATTTTAATTAAAAATAAGTGAGAACAATAAATCAAATTATGATAAACTATAGTTAAATGGAGGTGTAGAAGAAAAACAGTAAAGTACAGTAAGGGAATTTCAAAGGGAAACAATCTGTTTAAGATCAGACATATAGTAATTCTATGGAAAATTTTGCCATTTTCTTTTCTGCCACTATTTTTTTCACAATTCTACATTTCGTATATATTTCGTATATCAGATGCCACATATCATCATTTATTATTTTTAGAATAAATCATATTATACGAGAGTTGTAAGAGTATTAAATCTGATTTTCAAAAATACACATTGCATTAATCAAAAGACATTTGGAAATTAAAAATAAAACGTGTTGTTTCATTTATCATAATTTATTTACAGATTATTAGGTTTTTTACAACTTGAAAAATAATATGCTTTAAAAATAAACCAAACTTTGACATTGTATTCTAATTTTTCTAAAAATGAAGAAAAATTACATAGCATATATCTGGAAATTCTTTCTTATAAAAATATTTTTTATTTATTTTAAAATTTTATATGAATGCTTATTATATATAGAATTACAAGTATTGGTAATACTTTATTTTATTAGAAATAAATACTGTAACAGAGCAAGTCTTCTCTTATTGAATATTGAAGGAAACTTATACTTATTAGTAGTGAATTTATTTTTATTCTAATATTGGTTTATTCTAATATTGAATGAAAAAATATTCATTTCATGCTTGGTCAAAAAATAATAGAGAATATCAATACAATATGTATACTATTGCAAAAGATCACGTAAAGTTTTTACATACATCAAAAAGAAAAAATTTTGCACCTTTTTTTTATCCTTGAAGAGTAGAATACAACATTAAAATTTACCTATCTATTCTCTTATTTTAAAGAGAAAATTATAATATCTAATAAAATTATACATCAATGAACGTTATATTAATACAAGATGAAAGATCTTCTATGAGATTTGATATCTTTATATTTAGATTTGTTATAATTCCTATATATTATAACAAAGAAGTAAAAACATACTCACAATAACAGAAAGTATTTGCACTTGTTCCTATTTTCCAAAAAGTATTTCTTTAATAATATTCTATATTTCATTTCCAAAGTAAATTTTTATAATAAAAATATATCAATAATATGAAATATAATATAACCTAAATCTTACACGAACACTTATTATTCTACAATACAAATACAATGATTTGCAAATATTTTTCATATAAAAATTAATTTTTATAACAATTTAACGATCCCTCCCTATCAAGTACTCTCCGAGTACTCGCCAAAATGCGAAAAGAGAACTTGTTCAAAAACTTGTCCGCCATTATCCCCAACCCATAGTCGCCAAACATTGAAATATGCATGGGAGAGAAAAAAAAAGTTCATGCCAGACTATCCATGTGGAAACAGCCGTCCGTGCACTCTTTACATAAAGTGTTTCACTGTTGCGGGAGTTGAGGCAGTTGTTACTCCTTTATGAACGCGGATGGCTTTTATAGAACAACTTCCGCGTATTGTCTTCTTCATAATGTAACGATGGAAATGTTCTCGCGGAAAGACTCTTTAATAAAATGCCCGTTTATCGCCGCTTTGCTGAACCTTCGTTTGTCGTTGTCCTCGCGACATCCGCCGACGCGGTCGTACATTGAAAGTTTAATGTGAAATCATCGAACATGGAAAGTTGGCGGCATTCCAGTTCCTCCTGCCGTCTCTCGAATCCTCCCCCCTACAACCCTTTATACAGTACCGGTTCACGTAACACGTGTTCAACTGTGTATGTGACATACGTTGCGGGATGCAATAGGTTGTGCTGCACAACTGCACACGGGACTGAATTATTCGAAATGTAAATTGAAACTCAATATTATTTAGGGCTCTCGATGGCCAGACGGATCGTTGGAGTCATCATTATCAGTTCGTGCAGTAAAAATTTCCATTTTCTAATTAAAATATCGCGTGAGCATATTGATGATTTACACGAAATTACATTTTCGAATATTACAGTTTGGATCTTTTCTGTCTTTTTTCATTTGATTTTATTCATGTTATTTAGATTTTTTTATATTTAAATTTTGTGTAAAAGCATCCGTATGGATGCGCTGGTTCGTAATCTGTTCTTGGTTAATTATAAGCTATTACAATTAGTGATTTGTGAATTATTCAAGAGGGTTTGGTTATTAACTGAAAGAATTTATTTTATTGTTAATTATTGTAATATGAAAATGCTTTGGTATAGGTATAAGTAAGTTTTTTAATTAGTTATTATAATATCATTCAATATTATAATATTTCAAATTGTTGGAATAAGAAGAATGTTTTTATATTATATTTATATATACAGATAGAGAATTTTTTTTTTTGATAATGACGTTACATTCTGAAGATACAAATAATAAATTAATGCGAACGGATAATGAAAGAGATATAATGAAGTGAAATTATATTTTCTATTCAGTTGTAAAACGTGTTAAACGATTAGGAAAATGATAACTTACTTTTTACAGCTGATTGTAGCAAGTTAAATAGCTTTATCTAGTTATCTGAGTTTGATGCTATTCGCAACGAAAAATTTAGGTTCATTATTTTCAAAGGATAATTAGAGAAAGAAGGCTATAACGAAATTTACATCCATGTTAAAGGGAGGTCTTTCAACAAAGCAAATTTCTACGAGAAATTCACTTAAGATTGGTATTATTCAGAAAGTATTAAGAATATAACAAGTGGCATGTAGAAGTTTGCAACAGATTTGCATTATTTTTTTTTCTGATAGAAGTTTCGAACCTTTAAAGTTAGGAAGTTTTATGTTTTGCATAAAGTGTTTTCAAATTTCCTCCCAAAAGATACACCGAAATTTTTTGAACCTAATTTTCATAAATAGCATGAATTTGTGAAAAATTTCTATCGCAATTCTTCATCTTTTCTTCTTTATAATTATATTCGTTTAAATGAGTTTAATAAATTGACAAGTAGAATGTTCAGAACTGAAGATGATGGAGAAATGTGATACGTTTTTTTGTCTTTTTCTATTATTACTTGATATTTAGAAGGATATTTTAATATGATATTAATTGGAAAGAGATATAATCAGTTAGATTTAAAAATTTCATTTAATTTCAAAATAAGAATCAAATAAAAAATAATAAATATATATGTTTGATATAATTATAAAAGAAATGAGAAATTTAATTGCCAATTTATCATTTGCATGACACATTTGCACACAGACTGATAGCTTTTTATATCGTGTCCCTTCATTAGGGCGAATTTTTCTAGGACGAATATTTTTTTTGATTAACAATGAAGTTAATTGCAGGAAATAATTATGTACTAATTACGAGATCTTCAGATTTTAATAATTTCATTTGTGATATATATTAGCACTCTTTTTATAACTTTTTGTAAGTATTCTTTGTAGTGAAAGAATAATTGATGTCTATTTAAAGATACAATTATATTTTATCACATTGTTTGACTTCTTTTTGAGGGTATTTATTAGCAGAAAAATCTCTTGATTCAATTGGCTGACCTACTTTAATGTTAACTACTGTATTCATTGCATTGCCCATTCGTCCTTGTTAATTGTTAATTTTTTGATTTGATTATTTTTAATAACTATGGATTGAATTCATGAAAATTTATTCTTTAATTACTGATAAATGTTTTTTTTGATATTATTCTTTCTTCGTGTTTCACAATGGTAATAAGGAAATTGATCGATTTTAAAATTTTTTTAGTA